GTGTATGTGTGTGTGTGTGTGTGTATAACTAAAATGGCAGCATGCTTTTCTACCCTTCTCTGAATTGAGTATATTACCATTTATTTGGGATCTGAATCAAAAGAATATACAAATAATGGGGTATTTCTGGCATAATTGTTTTTTATAAGAGAACAACTAATAAGCCAACTGAATGATATTTATTTAATAAACATTTAATATGTGTCACTGATAAAATTCTGCCTAATTCTCTCTGTTATATCTTCACACATAGAAATCCAATTGGTTTTTATTTATTTATTTATTTATTTATGTTTATTGGGGTGACATTACTTAATAAAATATACACAGATTCAGGTGTACATTTCTATGATACATGATCTGTATATTGCATTGTGTGCCCACCATGGAAAGTCAAATAATCTTCTATCACCCTTTATCCTGTATTATCTCCTACCCTCTTCCCTCTATACTGTTGTTTGTGTCTATGAATTTCAGTTTTATATCCCACATATGAATGGAGTCATATAGTTCTTAGCTTTTTCTGACATACTTAATTTCATTTAGCATAATATTCTCAAGGTCCATTCATGTTGCTGCAAATGGCGATATTTCACCCTTTTTATGGCTGAGTAGTATTCCATAATATATCCATACTGCATCTTCTTTATCCAGTCCTCTATCAAAGGACATTTTGGTTGTCTCTGTATCTTGGCCACCATGAATAGTGCTGCAGTCAACATATGGGTACGTATATCTTTGTGAATAAATGCTTTCAAGTGTTTTGGGTATATCTTGCACATTAACTCCTTGTCAGAGATATGATTTGCAAATATTTGCTCCCATTAAATAGGTTGCCTTTTAATTTTATTGTTGGTTTTCTTTGCAGGAGCTTTTTAGTTTGATGTAGTCCCACATATTTATTTTTGCTTTTGTTGCCTTTGTTCTTGGTGTCCAGTTTCCATAGTCTCAGGAGCCAAAAACTGCCTCAGCACATCACTTTGCATGTCGCTTTACTTAATATTTTGGTGTCTTTTCCTGCCTCTTAGTAAATTGTTTAAGCAAAAAGTTACAAGGAAAAACAGTCTCAGATTTTAGAAAGTAGCTTGGCTTAAGTGTATTGATGATTTTGAAATATTGTATATTCTTCAAACTTGCTAGACTCATTAGATAATAGTCTGTATTTTATTAATTTGTTTTTTCATTTTATTTGCTTTTTTGATGCTGTGAGATTTTCTTTCTGCTGTGATAATAAAGAATCAAGGTTGATTTAAATAGCTTATTTTTTATTTTCCTGTTTAAAAACTTATATTAATATGATATTTTGTGTTGATCATGCTAGCAATGGATTATGAGAACTCCACCTCTGTTTGTCTTGCTTAGAAATTAAAAGCTTTTATATAAATTTGCATAATTCTAAAAATTGCTCATTACAATTTGATATGTATGGTGTTGCCTACACAGTCCTTACCAACATACTGTTATTTCTCAAAGAAACACACTACTATTTCTCAAAGAAACAAGAGGAGGTGGAGCTTTTCTTTATAGAATACTCTAGAGAATAGTAAATTGGATTTTTTTTCTTAGTTTCTCTTTCTGCTAGTTCATTGTTGGTGTACAAAAGTGCCACCGATTTCTGAATATTGACTTTTTATCTTGCTACTTTGCCAAATTCACTTACTAGGTCAAGTAGTTTTTTGGTGGAGCCTATAGGGTTTTCTATGTACACTATCATGTCTGCAAATAATGAGAGTTTTACTTCCATCTTTCCAATTTGAATGCCTTTTATTTCTACTTTATCTGATTGCTGTGGCTAGGACCTATAGTATTACGTTGAATAAGAGTAGTGAAAGCAAACATACTTGTCTCGTTCATGATATTAAGGGAAATACTTTTAGTTTTTGCCCATTGAGTTAGGATGTTGGCAGTAGGTTTTTTGTATATGGCCTTTATCATGTTGAGTTATGCTCCCTCTATTCCCACTTTGCTGGGTGTTTTTATCATGAATTGCTGCTGTATTTTATCAAATGCTTTTTCTGCAGCGATTCCACTGCTAAAAATATACCCTAAGAATTACAAAACACCAGTTCAACAGAACTTATGCTCCCCTATATTCATAGCAGCACTATTTACAATAGCCAAAATTTGGACAAAACTAAGTGCCCATCAGTAGATGAGTGGATCCAAAACTGTGGTACATTTACACAATGGAATGCTGCTCAGCAGAAAGAAAAGAGGGAATTCCTGCCTTTTGTGACAGTATCGATGGAACTGGAGACTATTATGCTAAGTAAAATAAGTCAGTCAGTGAAAGACAAATATCATATGATCTCTCTTACAAGAGGAATCTAGTGAACAAAATAAGCTAATGAGCAAAATAGAACCAGAGTCATGTAATCATGGAATAAACTGACAGCTGTAAGTGGGGAATGGGGAGGTAAGGACTGACTGAAATAAGGAAAAGAACATACATGAAGGACCCATGGATGTGGACAGTGGTGTGGAGATTGACTGTGGAAGTGGGGGTGGAGGGGGTAAAGGGGGAAAATGGGACATCTGTAATAGCATAAACAATTAAACATCAAAAATGAAAAAAACAAATGTGTGTTATTTAAAGAAAATAATACTCTAGAGAATAATTTTAAGGTAACTAAAATGATAGAATTTCATCAATTATATAATTCCTTTTTTATTAAGAAAGTGACTATTCCTGTTTTTTTCATTTAGCTTTTTAAAACTTTGATATAGTTCTTCTTAAATCTTGAATGTAGATACCTTAGATATATCTGGAAACCCATTAAATTATATGATGCATTTTTAAATTGTAAATCAAAGGACATTCCCTGTAGGGAACCCTCCAGGGATAGATAATATTTTCTATAAACACTGACTTTTACACTGTTTTTTTCAATTAAAAATAAATCTTTTCATTTATTTTATATTTACTAACAAATCTTCATGTTTTGGTTTATTATTTGGATCTTCCTCAATTCTTGTATATTCTGTGTTTTCCATAAATGAGTACTTTCAGTAAATAATTGATCTTCAAAAATCTCATGAATGAGCACTGAATGGTAAAAGTGGGTTCCTATGTATACCTGAAAATAAATCAGGGTGTTAGAGGATTTGAATGAGATGACAAGTTGTGAAAGATAATCAGCTGCTTCTAATGTCCCCCGCCATGTGATCAAAAGAATGGTGAAAAAGGGTGCCTGGCTCGGGTAAGAGTGTTTGAATGAAAATTACAGACCAAAAATATTTTTTAAGTTAAAAGTTAAAAAACTATTACCATTTTATTGTTCTCCTCTTGAATTATTTAACTGTTAACAGAGGTAAACAGATTTTTTGTGTGTGTATAGTGAAATGCATGGATGTTTACACCTGTTTCTAGTTTAGACTCTACAGGAGTTATTCTTATGGAAACAAAACAGAGCTGACCACAGGCAGAATTACTGGAAAAAATTGCATATTATTTGGAAACTTGGTGTCCTTTGCTGATGTGGTGTTCTGACGTAGTGGGCATTTTTTGTGTTTTAGAAGAGGCCCATCAGTGAAAAATGATATATCCAATGAATTTGCTAATTGCCATTACAGAGTTAAAGATGAACTGCCATTAATTGCACTTTTGATTAGCATTATAGCTGTAAAGGAGTATATGCTGACCTTTTATCCTCTAAGTCCTAGGAAATTAACATTTGAAATGAGGCAAACTGTCTCTTAAGACTTAAAATATGCAGCAAGCAATCAAGATAGCAAAAAAACAAGTTTTGTACTTGCTACTTAAAAAATTTTGGCTGAGTTTGGTGCTGTTGGGTATACTTGATCCTCTGAATTTAAAGTTTTTGGGCATGACAACTAACACCAGTCAACTTTTAATAGACCACAGAATATTATAACATTTTGAAACTTTAAAAATTGTATCTTCTTGGCTAGGTGAGAATATAATTATATTTTACATATTGGAATTTGTAATTTTCTACTAATCTTAAAATTTTCCATATGTTAAGGAAACATGTAACACATGTATAGAATCAAAATTCTTAATAATATTTTGGTTCTATATATGTGAACAATATTTACCAGTATGTATCTTCTGAGGGTGAATTTTGTTATTGCATTACTAGTCACATAAAATTCAGTGAAGATGTGTGTTTTCGAACATAGCGAAAAACTTAGAGGTTAAATGAAAAAATATTGTTTCCATTTAGAGGGTAATATGTTTATATGTTCTCGTTTCTTTCACAGCATCACTTAGTCATTTTTCATTTCATTTTATTTATCAAATTAAACAAATTTTTGAAAAACCCCATTAATTTCTCATACATTGAAAGCACATGTAAATTAGTCATTTTAGGTTCAACTTTCCTTATGCCTGGAATAAGTATTGATGTGACTAGCAGGATGTCAGAAATACTTGTAACTCTGAAACTTGTTTACTGGTCTAGAGTTGATTTTTGGCATCTTTTCACAAAAGCATCATTTCTTCAAGTAACCTTATTGGTCCCTATTAGTCTTTAGTTTAGATTAGGTTGTTTTCCCCCTAACTTATATATTCAGAACAAGTTTTGGTCTGTGGGAATATATAGCCCATGGAAATGTAGTACTACAACCAGGAAGGGCATTGAAACAAGAAGTCTTCAGCATTATATTTTTAAGCATGTCTATTTCATATTTCTTATATTTAAGAATTGCACCCGTGAATCTACAGTTTAACTTAAAACAATCACATTACCAGTTCTAGTACTCTTCTGCCACATTCCTGTGCTTTTCCCCAGAAGAAACCACTGTCCTAAAGATTTATTATCACTTTCTTGATTTTGTAAAAATCATTTTTATATATATGTAAATATTTATATATTATATATATAAAGAAAAGAGTTTTGCTTATGTGCCTTATAAAAGTGGGTTAATACTATGTGAATTCTATGCGATTTACTTGTTTTTATATTATTTACCTTATCTAATGTAAAAAAGGATAGTATTACATCATTTTGAGATACTTATCATTTCCCCACTTTCAGACGAGGAATCTGTGGTTTAGATGGGTTTGTGTAATTTGCCAAAGGCTGCATAGCAGGTAAGTTGCTATTGTTGAAATGTAAAATCATTTCTGACTCTATAGCTATGGCTTTTACTCGAGCAGTATTATTGTGAGGTCACAGAGATATGAAGCAGTATGACATAATCAGTAACCGTTGGTAGTACAGTGTGATTGGAATAAAGTCAGCCCTTAGTGGTATCATTCTAGTTTGGACAAATAGCTCATTGAGATGTTATAAACTAAAATGGGAAATATGAAGCAAAGCATGTTTATTTAATAAGATGATGGGTAAGTTTGATGTATATACTAGGCAGCTATATGTATCTGGAGGTCTGCTGAGTGGTTAGTGCTAGAGATATGAATTTAGGTATCATTAGCTTATAGGTGAAAATTTAAATAATGGATTTTGAAAGAGGTAAGAATAATGTAAATATTGAGATCAGAGCATGAAGGAAACAGTGAATTTTAAGACTGAATGGAGAAAGAGACTGGAAAGAAAACAAGAAAACGTAGTCAAAAATTAGGAGGAAATCAAGGATATAGTAGTACCCAGATGCCAAGGGAAATTGCAAGGTAAAGGAAGAATCATTAGTATTAGTGTTCTGGAGAACTAAAGAAAGGTAAAATAAGAAGTTCATTTTATTTAGTTCATTTTATTTAATAGCAATTGATAATAGTCTTTTTTAAAAATTAAAATTAAAAATTTTTTTTAAACAACTGATAAGAGTCTTAATTGAAGAGATCAAGGGGAGTGATGAGGGCTGGGTGACGAAGAAAACTGACAAGACTCATTTGGAGATAAAACAGTTGGATTTGAAGGGAAAGTGTGACAGGTGGTAGTAGCAGAAGGTGTGAGGTGGAGAATGCCTCTCTTGCCCTCTTCCTACTTGCCTCCCTCAACCTCTTCCTTTCCCTTCCACTTTTTATCTCTTTACCTCCTTCCTCTCTCCTTCCCTTTATGCTACCACTTTCCCCTTCTGTTTCTAATATGACATACTAGATCATTTAATGTTGTAGTTTGATAATTTAACTTGGGTCAGCATGCCATCTTGTCTTAGATTTTGACTGTAAATATGAAAATGTAAAGATATTTTAAAATGTTCAGGTGTTAGATCAGAATGATATTTTTAAGAGTTTCTTGATTCAGGATCATAGTCATACATACCTTTTATGCCTAGAAGTAAACATACTCCTCTAATGAAATTTAATCTTTGAAATAATAATGAGAATGATATCAGCACAGTGCTAAAATATTTACATATTTTTTTGGTCAATTTATGCCTCGTAGGTAAATCTATGCCAACTTTACAGATGAGGAAACTGAAGGAAGTAAACTTGCCACTTGCTCTATACCTGGTGTGGCAATTAGGGTCCAGTCCATGGTCTTAATAACAAGACTGTATTTCCTCTTACTATATACGATAGTATTGATTTCATACCTTTAAAATTAATTAATAATATGTTTGTTATGAATTAAAAAGAATGTTTTGACATTTCAGAGAAATCTATTAACATATGGACTAGTGAAAATAGTCATTTATTTTTTAGAAATTACTTTCTTAGAAATTTCTGAAAAAGATATATCAAGTACAAATATGACTTGAAATTCTAGTTTTCTATATTTTAGTTAAAATTGTGAAATTTTTATGGGATAATCTAGAATATCTTATCGAGTATGGAACATACTATTTTAAAAACACAATGTTGCTGTAAAAGTGTAGATAACTAAAGGATCCCATAGGATACCAATCAGAAATTGATGTATTTTCTAGTTTATTAATACCTAATGACCATGTAAATATTTTTCTTCAGGCAAAAATGCAATTTGCATTGTGAGCTGCCTTCCAGAAATTATGGTAGAACTTCGCTGACGTTGCCACTGATGCCAATGTGGAGTAAAGGTCTTTATAATTTAGAAAGTCAGAACATATAAATGGATTATCGCTAAAAATAATTTACTCTTCTTAAACTTTAAAGCACATAATAAGGTCAATGTATTTGAATTTTTAGAAAGAACATTTGGAAGTAAAGTAACATAAATACAATCTGTTTATTTTGCTCTCATCAATTGGCTGTCCTTTTGTGACTTTTGTTATTGAACCAATCACAATCTAATGTTTTGTTGCAAAACTAATTACAGAATTGTTAGAAAAAACATTGGTTTTCTAAAAAAAAAATTCAGTAAACTAACATTGACTTTAATATGAAAAATCTCTTGTTGAAAAAGAAGTTAACACAGAGGCAGTTGCTATTAATTATTTTAAAGTAATTCTTTTCCCCTTAGCTCACTTTGTTGTAATAAATAATTGATTTGACTTGACTACTGAGGTCATAAGCTCATTGAGTACACAAATGCTTGTCTTGCTCACTGCTGTCTTCTCAGTGCCTAGTTAGTGCCTGTCTGTGTCTGGCACTAATAGGTATGCTATTGCTTTTTGTTAACTACCTTGATAGGTGATAGGTTTGAATGCTTTCTCTGAGTTGGAAATGCACTTCCTATGGTAATGTGTTAGATAGACACGCAGGCATTATTATTAAATTATTCTGTTTGCCTGGGTCTCATGTGGAAATGTCATGTTAAATTAAGAAACACTAGTTTTAGATTTCAGGTAATAGTTCTTCAAGAATAGTTACGGAATCCTCATTTTCAGTCATTTTGCTTTTATTTCCCTTACCTTTCCCCCTTCCTTCCCTCTGCTATCTTTCTTGCCTTTAACCTGTTCTTTCTTTCTTCTCCAATCATCATTTTGTTTGTTTGTTTTCCTTTAGTGTCTGGAGTCCATCTTTCTCCAGCTTCTCCTGCGATTGTGCTGGACCATGACCACTCTTCTCCTTCAGGTGGCTGCCTCTCTTCTGAGCACATCGTTTCATCACCAGAGATGACACATGCCGACAACAGTGTTATCAGCCAGACTGTTCCGAAAACACCGGTAAAGGCAGTCATATTTTTATAGGACATTTGCATGCTTAAAAGAACTGCATACTGACTTAATCAAAGCTTTAGAATTTTTCTGATTTCTTTTTATATCTTTCCTGAAAAATATTTCTGTAGACATTCTAACTTTGAGGCTAATATCTAAAATTTAAAAAATGGAATAATGCATTTGTTTTGTGGAACAATTGCAAGGTATTTAGCCTTAGTTACCAAAATATGGTTTGAGTATTTCATTTATTAAAATTGATTTAGTTTTGCATTTCAAATCTTCAACTTCAAAAGGGAAAGTAAGAACAAAAAAAAGAATATTTCTGTCTTCAGGGATGCTTACTATATGTTTTCAAGTATTAGAATGTTCTTTGCAATTTTAGAGTGAAATCCAAAAAGGTAACAGTTCTGGAGTTTATTCACTCAAATGTTTATTGGTCCATGCATCATGCTACATGCTAGATGTTGTCCAGATTTCTCAAGGGCTCTACACAATTGAGTCACTTTTATATACTAGAAAGTGATAATTAATGAGAGATTATTGATAAATTTCAGTCTGATTTACAATGTAAACACAAGCAAATTCTGGGTGTGTGTGTAAATCCAAGGACTGGTGGGTATCAGATGTGTCTATACATAATTACACATTTTCAAGCATAAGAAAAAGTTTTCAGGTTTCAGTGCTTTGTTTGCAAAGTAATAAATACCGCTTTAAACTCTAAAGTTTAGAGGAAATTTTGTGTCTTACTGCAAAGATCAGGTTGTTGTAACAGTTTGAGGTCTTCTGTTGATTTACTTAAAGGGTGAAATAATTTCGGAACCCTTGCTACAACTTAATTTCCAAATGTGGTTTCTAGTGCCCTTTGGATGTTTTCATTATTGGTGTAGTGTAAACTTTTCCCTCTTGTATATTTTTTTTTAATGTGGTTCAGATTCAGCAATCAACACACACTGATCTGGATATCTCACTTTTTCCATTGGGTTTAACTGATGAGAAAAGTAATGGAACAATTGCTCTTGTGGATGATTCTGAGGATCCTGGAGCCAATGTATCAAACATACAGCTTCAGCAGAAAATTTCAAGCCTGGAGATGAAACTCAAAGTTTCTGAAGAAGAAAAACAGAGAATTAAAAAGGTATATTCACATTTTCCTAAAAATAAATGTTTGAATTTTACATTCTGGAAATTGGATATAATCCCCGTCTCTGATTACAAACTCATTAGTACATGGGAAAACATATTCTCCTTGGCTATAGTTTTAAACCAGTCATTTGAGTTTATCACTTAGAAAGTTTTGATAAGTAATCTCTTGTCTTAAATGTGTACTTTTAAAGATATGAACATCTTTTACTAGATTTATTTTCTAACTAATGCTTTTTTTCTAGTTCTTATTTACCTTGAAAGTAGGTAGTATTGTTTTTCTTATATAGTCTCGAAGATTAGTAATAGTTTATCCCCAGCTATTTACTTACACTACACTTGCTCCTGTGTGAAGTCAGGTGTCATGGGGTATTTGACAAGAGTACTTACACAGACAGCTATTTTAGTACATTATTTATTTATTTATGGTCTTACTTCTCTTTCCTGCAAATTTATCTATAAAAAGACTGGAGCAAATTTATAGAAAGTATATGTTTAAATAGATTGTGTTGATTGCAATTAGTTTAGATGTTTTATTTATTTATCAGCATGAATAATTTTAGTGTTAGAAGCATATAATCTATAGTAATATTGAACTTCCTGTGGGCTTTTTTCTTAACGAACATTTTCTGGTATGTTCATTGAAAAAACTAAGTGTATTTCATGCCATTACATATTACATAATTTGTGGTTGGATTTCTTTTTTAGGATGTGGAACTGTTGCTAGAAAAGCATAGTGTCTTGGAAAAAGATTTCCTTAAAGAAAAAGAGCAAGAGGCCATTTCTTTTCAAGATAGATACAAAGAACTTCAGGTAAACCATGTGTGCTTACAAATAGCATACAGGCCTTTTGATGAAGTATGTTAATATAATTTCAAAAAGTGCTCAATAAATACTCTTCAAATAAACAATCAGTATGTAAAATATTGACCAACATGGATGAAATTGATGATAAATGTCATTGTGAAGAGTATCTGTGAGAAGCTGTGAGGGTTAGTTGTTTGAGACTCAGTTTAGTGAAAAATATTCTGCTTCTGATGGATAAAATTTGGAATTCAGACAGTCTCATTTTTCTTATTTGTGATTTATTTCAAAAGAGTTTAGAATCTTATAAATCCCAAATTGAGATATTTAACCTTTTTCATATATTGTAATTAATGTCTCCTTTTCTTTGCCTCCTCAAGTTTCCTTAATAAACTTGTTTTTTTCCTGTTCTTCCCCCTCTCAGTAAATGGCAACTCTTTCCACTTGCTGAGGCTGAAAATGGCATTTACCCTTTTTTGTACTTACTCCATGTCTGTTCCCTCAGGAAAAGCTGTTGGCTCTACTTTCAAAACATCCAGATTTTGACTGTTTGTCATTATGGTCAGTGCTACCAACCTATTCTAGGCCATCCTTATTTCTCCCTTGGAATACTAAAGTATCTTCTAACTAATCTTTATGCTTCCATTGTTGCCTACATATAGACTGATCTCTACCTTGCAGCCACTATGATCTCTTTAATACTTAGAGCTGATTGCCATTTCTCTGCTCTGAAACCTTTAGTGTCTTCTCGTCTCACCCAGACTAAAGGTCAAGTGAGTCCTTCAATGCCTGCACATGCCCTATAATCTCCTTTATGCTTTCTCCCTATCTTTCCCTTGCCTTTTCTCATTTTGCTTTATCCCTATCCCTGAAAAGTCTTCTTTTAATTTTCTGCATTTTTTTCTTATTATATATCATCCTGGACTTCAGGCAGGTATCACCTTATCACCTTCCCAGATAAAGCTGGTATCCCCTGCCAACTTTTCTATGCTACGTTTCTGTTTTCCTCCTTAGCACTTTTCCATTTGACCAACTTGTTTGCCTAGGTTATTTTAATAGTCTCCTAAGTAGTCTTCTAGCTTCTACTCTTGTTATTCTTCTTAATGAGTCTTTATTTCAGGAGGCAGAGTAGTCTTTTTAAAATGTAAATCAAATCATTTCCCAGCCTCAGTTCTCATTCTCCTTCCAGTGTAAATCCTCTGGTTTCTTCATCTTTTCCAGTTTACTCCGGGTCTTTACTTACACTGCACTTTGTGATAAGGGCCAGGGGAATGTGTGCGTCTCTCTGGGGGGCATTCCTTGGCCGGTGGAGTGGCCAGTGGAGGGAAATGGTTTATGATTTAGTCTTAGTCTCTCTGCCTGGAATGCCTTACCTCTAGATATTTACATAGCTCTGTTAAAAATGAGGCAAAATGTGAAAATAAGGAAAAGGCTGAAGTAGTGTGTTCTTTCAATATTTGTGGGAACATCATTTAATAGACCTACTCAAGGATTATGTAGGAGAATGTACTTTGTTTGACTCATGGTTTATTGATATTACATGTTAATTATATTTTTCCCAAAGACAGTGCAAACAATTTCTGTTTGTTAGAAAAGATAATCCTACAAGAGGACAATCACCAGTTTTATTTCTCTAGCCTAGCACTTTTTCTTATCTAACCACCCATTACTTAAATTATATAAATACATAAGTACGTATATCGATATATACCTTCAAATGTACTTTGAACCAGGCTTAACTTCTGATTTATTTAGTGGGTTTTTTTTTGTTTTATGTATTTAATTATTGTTGTAATTAAACAATAATACAGTTGACACTCCACTGAAAGGAACTTTTTATCCCTTTACAAAAAACAGGTATGCTTTGAATTGTTGATCAAGTCAGGTTGCCAGTTGTAAATGAATTACTCTAATGGGGATGGACAAAGGCATGAATGATACCACTTAACAATATGTTAGGTTAGGGAGTATGAAACAAGTTCAGTCTTAATATAAGTGATTTATTTATTAATAAGTGAACAGAAGAAATCTTTGATGTATGTTCACTTTATATTTATATGAGTCATATTTTAACTTTTTGAAGTTTATATTTTAAGAAGTCTCAGAGAATCTTTAGATACCTGCTTTTGCAGAGGCTTTCTTTGAGTGCGCCATAGAAAACAAGAGCCGTATACATGCTCAGCACTCCCTAGCTTCTTTTCTTTGCTTTTTGACCCCCTCCTCATAGCATTTATCTCTACCTGTTCTTTTATTTTGATTTGTTTATTTTTTGTTTTCCCTCACCAGAGTGTAAGGTCTGTGAGATCAGGAACTTTTATTTTCTTGTACCTAGAGCAATGCCTGGCATATAGTGCGGGCTCAATTAATATTTTTGATTGAATGTGAACTACTGTCATGCACCCTGTTTACCAAGGGCTAATTGCATTGTGTACAGCCACAATTGCCAGCCTCATACTTGGAATTAAGTATGCCTTACCTCTAGATATTTACTTATTAGAAGGCACAGCACTGAGTACTGACAGAACTTTGAGTTTTCTTCTGTCTACGTTGACTTACTTTTTCTGGGCTCTGTAGTGTGATGTATACTTTTACAAGTTTAGTTTCTCAATCTATCAGTGAGAACATACCTGAGAAACCATCTAGGATCTGATCTAGCACAGCACTTGAGATTTTCACAATAAATACTTATGTAAATGCTAAGGGGCATTATCACTGATTTACTGTTTTTACTATTAATAGTAATAATTTAATATTACAACTTGAGTCTTCAAAACTAATATTCAATTTGAAAGGATCTTCCTTTTACAGGAAGCATTTTTTCCAAAGAAATCTTTTTTCGGGTGATTTTATTTCAGTACTGAAAAAGGACCTCTCTCCTTTTTAGACCATGTGATTAAAAGAGTAAATTATCTTATGGAGTCTTTTATCACCTTGGATGAATAATTGATAGAAAAATGTGCTAGGAGGTCTCATAGTCAAGTTGAACTCAAAGGCAGGCATGCTCTTCAGCTGATACAGGTAACCTCTGTCTTTTTGAAAGTATGCCTTTCACTACTTCGCTTTTATGAAAGACCTATATTAGCACCTGTTTCCCAAAGAGGATTTTAGCTTTTATTTTTAAAAAGGCAAAAAGTGAAAATAGTGCTCAGTGCTTGTTTTGGTATGATGAGTGGTTTTTAATGATATCCTGCACATTTTGGGTGTTTGTGTAAAATACTGTATTTTAACAGGCCTCAGGTAGGCCACTTAACCTGATACTGCAGGGGTTGGATGCCACTTTGTTAATGTCAGATGCAGGGTAAGATTGCAGATTTCCCATTCAGCCTCCTTTGACACCCTGGGTAGAAGGTGTGCCTCCTTACTCCAGAGAGAAAGTGGAATTTCAGGCCCCCTCCAGGCATTGTCTTGGAGGAGGAGAGGTACTCTGTAGATGTTCTCCATGTGCTTGTGCTAACACCATGGAACCAGGAGGCCTTGCTACTTCTGAATGGTTGTGAAAATTCTGGCTCCCCACTCAGTTTCTTCTCTCACAGGGAGGGTGGGGGAGATGGAGCCTCCTTACTTCTGGGTGGGCACGCATGTCCTAAAAATGCCTCCAAACCCCATGGTTTTCTCTGTCACCACCTCAGGGGTCAGCTAGGGCAGCACTTTACAGCTGGATGAGGGTGGAGGTCTGGGCTCAGTGCTCTGGCCTTTGCTCACTGAGCTGGAGGGGTCATATTTTTTTCCCACAGGGTATGGCTATCATAGGGTGGTGTTTATTTAAAAGTGTCCCGTTCTGCCCGTTTGGCTGGAGAGGGATGGCATGTCTTGAGGATGTTTTTGTTTGTGCCCTCTGGCATTTCCTGGTTGCTGGCCATCTTATTATATGAGGCTAAAAGAAAACTCAGAGAATTTACTGCCCTGTCATTCCTTGGGTCCTCAGGTCCCAAGGTGGTCTTCCTTTCTACCACCTTATAGAATCTTCTTACATTTGTTTTAAATACAATGTCAGGCCTTTTAGCTGTACTTATTGATAAACATAGAGAGGAGTGCGTCTCCTTCATTTTAGTCTGGAAGTGGATTAGGAAGAACATTTAAAATTTTAAATAATAGTTTTGTATCCACAGCAGAAAATTAATTTCAATCTTAAGATACATTAATTTAAAGCAAATATTTTGTGTTATAACACAATTTGAGTAGTTAACTCATGGAGTCATTGATACAAGAGGGGTAAATAAAAATCTGAATAACAAATTGGGAAATAATTCATCAATTTCCATATTTGCTTTTTATTTACCTAGTTTGTGCATATATAGGTATGTGTGTTAGACTTTCTGAAAATGTATTTTCAACAAAAATATTGAAAATAATTCGACAAGATTTTAGAAAATCTTGGGCTTTACTATTTGACCTCCCTTCTGTAATCCATTTCTTTCTGGGTATATAGCCTTTTTTCATGCTGGTACAAAATGCTATCTAATAGTTTCTTAGGAATACATATGATTAAATTTGTGAGTATAAAAGGAAGCTACTGTATGCTAATATATATAGGATAAAATATTAGCAAAAGTGAGTTTTTTAATAGTGAGTATATAAATTGTTATTCTTGAATTAATAGTTTGACAGTCACTCCTCAGTTATTTGAATGTAAATATATTTAACATATATTTTCTGTAGAGTATGACAATCCATAGTTTTTTTAATGTTATGCCATAGAGGTCTTCTAAATATTTTTGGAACTTAGTACAATAGAAAAAGGCATTTACTATCTGTGATGTGAGGGATAATATATTGGTGCCTGCCTCCCTTTGGTATCCTAAATAAAGCAAAACATTTAGGAATGTGAAAAGGTAGTATTGACAAGACTAAATTAGCTGAGAAGCCTTCCTCCTGAGGTAATGTTTGTATGCTTATGTATTTGTAAGAATGCTTATTGTGTAAAATGTGGACAATTAAGAAGAAGAAAACAAAATTTATACCTCTTCACCACCATGAAAATTCCAAGTGTTTTCTTGAGATTTCAAAAT